GTGGGATCCTTGGATATTTACACCTTGAACTACCAATAGTAGGTAGTATCCGGTGGGCCCTGACCGTCTCAGCTCGCAGAGGAGGCTTTCTTGTTTTGTCAGAGTTGGGTTCACCGGTTGGATCTCTTCGGTCTCACATGCTTTTGAAGGCTTACTTACCGGGACTGTGTTCTCTGCCGAGAGGTCCTCAGTGCCTTCTGCATTGCCTGCTATTGGGCAGTCTGTGACTGTCTCAGGAGGCATGGGTATTGGCAAGGGTTTGCTCACTCTAGCCCACATTGTCTGTTTAACATAATATATAATCGTGTCAAAGCGATTTATAAAATCCTGGCCGACCAAAAATGGGAATGAGTCAACCATAGACACATATACCGGGTGGTATAGTGTCATCTCGCCAACCTGCATGTGAACCATAGCTATAGCTGTTAGGGTTGTCCTCGTCTCTGCGAGGCCCTGCAGCCCTATAGCACATTCTATGAGAGGTATGTCCCTGTGAACACCGTTAGCGGCAGTCCTGAGCTCCTCGAATAGTTTGGCTGACATAATAGTTATGTCGGCTCCACCATCCAGTAGGGCTTCATGTGTGACGACCTCTTCAAGTGTGATCGACAGGTAAGCTTTCTTAGTGACCCCCTTTCTGATCAGGTTACACAGGAACCTTGGAGGTTTTGGCCGACGTTTCTTCTCACGTCTACCTTCACCTGTGTAATCATGGTTTTTCCGAACCGTTGGTGCAGTTGCTGCTGCTCCGGGAGTTCAGCTTTTGACGGACCTCCGTCATTGATGTATGAGATCACCCGCTCACCGTGTGTTGAGGGGCTCTCATTGTTTGTAACAACAAGGTCTTGGTGGCTGTCTATGACAGCGGCAATGTTGTTTGTGTCACCCTGTTTGGACTGAATCGTTAGCACAGCTGTTGCTGTTTCTGAGGTTTCAGTTTGTGACGGGTAAACGTCGGTGACGTGTGATTGTACCCCCCCATGTCAGGTGAGGGCGTGTCAGAGTTTACAACAACAGCGTCATGGTGACTGTCTGTGACAGCAGTAATAGTGTTGTCTGTGTGCTCTGACTTATCAGCAATGATATTGCCAAACATGCGTTAGGTTGTTTGTCCGTGGCACCACCTTTCAACAAGTCCAACAACCAACGCACCCTGTCTGTCTCGTCCGAGCTCAGAAGACTGCGGCTCTCTTTCTGGACCTGCTGCTGTTTCTTTTTTGTCTCAGGATGTTCAGTCCGATGTGGTGGGGAAGAAGTCCCCCCCACCGGGGTTCCCAGTGGGATCCCTGTTTGTATGGGTCACTTTTGGTGTCATACTTTTTACCCTTAGGGCGTTCGCCCCCCTTCTAGTACATCCGTTCATCCCCTGGTTCCTTGGGAAACCATTTAGGATCCCGTCTGGACCAGGGGGCACTCACCTGTTGTGGTTTGGCTGCTGGGAAACCTCGTTTCCTCTTGCCTTTTTTGGGAGGGGGAGTCGAAGCTCTTGCCCCTTCTAATTCTAATGACTGGGCAGGAATCCTCTCACCTGGGAACACCTCAATGGGTGTTTTGGCCTGTGAACGGGCTTCAAAGACATTCACAGCACAACTTTTTATCTCATTGATGGATCTCTATTTGAAATTAGCCATCATTTGCACTGACATTCTTATGTCAGGGTGGAGATTTTTGCTAAAAACGTACTTAAACGGTTCCTCCTCCTCCATGCCGGACTCGTTCCTGAAACCAAAATAAGCCTGCAAAATCCTGGAATAATATGCCCTTGGGTGCTCATTCTTACCTTGCATGACCTTGTCGGCGGCTGGATAACCACCAGGTCCCGCGCAAGGGGAATACTCTTTCATAAGAGCAGCACATAACAGGCGGTAATCCTTTCTTGTGGCATCAGGTTGACGCTCTATGAAAGAAAACACCGTCCTGGATGAAGTGAGGCTGATCAAACCTACTTTATCCTCAACTGTAGCGTTGGGATAGCTTCTTAATTGGAAGTCAAGGTCGTTCAGATAGGCATTAGTGTCGGTTAAACCCAACAACCCTGGCTCAAAGCGTTGGACATATTTTGCAACTTGTGCAAATCCGAAATCGATAGCAAAGGCTGTATTATCGGTATCGTAGGAACCAAAATGGCACGTGGAGGTGTGTCGCTAGACTCACTTGGAGGTGACGGAAGGAGATTAAGAGCAGGAGGTACAGCAAAATCCTTCTGAGGTGGTGGTGGGTGACCTGGACTCTGACCTTGTTCGTCTTTGAGTTCCAGACAACCTTGCCCCACATCAGAAATCTCATTTGTTGCTGCGGCTAGTTTCGCCTCACAGGCTTTTAAGCGTTCATGTGATGTATGACATTCACTTTGTAAACGCACGCCTTGTTGGACTAAAGCCGCCTTTTCCAATCTGCACTCGTCCAGATCTTTTGATGTGAGCTACAACTTTCGTTGTAGAACATCATTATCTGAACCCAGTGCCTGGTACTTAATGTCTCTTTCCCTCAGCTTCTCCTCATATGAGTCAGCTTGTAATGACAGCTGAGCTTGTGAGAGCTCTCTCTCACATTGTAATTCATTTGCCCAGGTCTCCTTATCAAATTTAGACTGTGCCTCGAGTTTTAGGTACTCCACGCGTGCTGCCACGTGGACCTCTGTCTCGTGCACTAACTTTTTATCAAGGGCTTCAGCTCTGTTTGCCTTAACATAAAATGTTGCTTTCAATAAGAGTGCCAATTTAGCCAGCTGGTTATAGCTTGACTTTGTTATGGTTGCAGAGGTCACACCTTCTGCAACATCCTTCAGCTCGTCCAATAACTCTTTTGAGTTCATGCTGTCTACCTGTTCACCATATGGATGTAAGGATTCTGTTAGCAGCGTTAACGCTCTCTCCAACCAGTCCTTCCTCTCACATGGATCAATATTTGTTTCTGTCACATCTGCCATGGTTATTCACTGTTCAGCAAAACCTATCTGGTTGAATAGTTGCAACCTTAGAGTTTTTAACAGGTAAATATGTGTATTTAAGTGAGCGGTGAGTGTTATACACTATTTTAGCTCTGCGGTTCCACCACACTACTGTTATAAGCGAACTTTTTCAAATGAATGGGCACCTATTTGTAGGTTTTACCCCAATGCATGAATATTCCAAGTAAATGCCTCCTTCTGGCAGTGTTACTTAATGAGCTTAAATCTAACAGATACAAGAACCAGGCTCTTTCAGTGTTAACTCACTCAAAATGCACATAAAATTAATAAACCTGCAATTTGTCCAAGTCTGACATCAACTTTAGGTTTCAAACGCTTTTGTAAGCAGTTTAAATTTACCAGAATTTGCCATTTAAACAGTACAAAAAAACCAGGCTGGATTAACAAAAAAAAAATTTTAAATGAAGCAAGTGATCAGCTTTCTTTCAGGAAAACCGTTATACTCTATTTTCGACAGCAGGTGGCAGTGTAAGCTTACTTTTACCAGCAGAAGTCTATGACAACTTCCTGTGAACCGTCCTGTTGACATCTGGCTGTTAGCCGTTAGCTACGCTTTAGCACACGGTCGAACATGGTTCTGCAACATTATTATGGACGGTTTAAAGCTATTAACATGGCTGTTGCACAATCACGTTTTATCTGCATGAAAAACATGAGTTTTAGGAAGTGACAGGCTTTATTTAGCGTTTTTAAACACAGAGGAGGACTCGGTTAAAACGAGCTTCATTTCCGGGGTCACGTGACTCTTTCAGACACGTGCACAGCGGAGGTTGGCTTCACAATCTAACATCAGAGGGAGTGGACACACAGAGATATGTCATCAGCTTCTCAGCGAATCAGAGCGACCCAAACAGCGGTTTTCAACCAATCACAGCCCGTGTTTACTCGCTTCCAGCTAGCAGTTAGCATAAAAAGTACGGTCAAACTATCGCCCATTAAACTTCAAAAATGTACAATTTACTGTTAAAAATGTAACAAATCAGCATATAACAGTGGTCTGTCAGCGCCCAGCTTTAAAACAGCGTGTCATCCATTTAAAACACAACTCGGTAAAACGAGTCCAGTAAACAGAACCGGGTCAGACATTCAGAACCCACCTTCTGCTACAGTTTAAAACAGAATAAAGCGTTTTTTCCACAGCATCCAGCTTAGTTACACAAACAGATGTACACTTTTCAGCTTTAACAAGAACACATTGACTTTATTGCAGCTTTTTGAACACGACAAGCATGACATATCATGTCCTTTGAAGCTCAAAACACGGACAACCATGCCAACAAGAAACAGAAACTCGTGTCACATATAATTCATACCTCTTTAGACATCTGTTTGGCCACCAAAATGTCTAAAGAGGAGGATGGGGTATAATTTATCTCTTTTACAGACCGTACGCGGCCACCAATATGTAGGGTTCTAAGAGCTATGTTTAACTGCCCTTGACTACAATATATTTAAATAAACAGGTTCTCTCTTTTTCGAGCTAAATTACAGCCATGTGACCGAGGTAACTGTGCATAGGTTGTTTAATCAGTGACACCGAGACGTTAATTTTCTTTGACCCATCAGAATAAATGTGGTCATTTATTGAACAGAATCAAAATTTAACATCAAAATGTACAAGTGATTAGCTGATCTGGTTCTGATTAATAAAACTTGGCACGTTTTACTTGATAAAAACAACAGACATTTCTGAAGGCATCTAGATTAATTACTGGCAAAATAGAAGAGTTTAAAGATGGGAAATGATGGGGTTTAAATGGAGAGAAAAGATGGATAAAAAGGAATGTGTGTTGACTAGGAATGGCACCCTTCATCCGACCCCAGCTCAGCCCCGGTACACTAGGTGCGTGGCGACTCATTACCTTAGACGGGGATACCTCCGCTCAGGAACAGGAGTCCATTTCAACGCTACCTTTCAGCGTCTCCAGCAAGGATGGCTGAGAATCGTCCGAAGTAGTGATGGTACTCCGTTCAATGGTCAAATCCATCAGCTATGGATTAAATCTGAAAGTTCCTTAAGAACCCTCAGGAAGACTTCAGTCAGAGATTCCACTCAGACGTGGAGGACTCCATGAAAGACCCGCTTGAGGAAGACTCTGGTCTAGGACTCCAGAAGACTGAAGACCGACTCAAGACTGAGAGACCCAGTTGACCTGAGAAGTTCCAGGAAGTGTGGACTCTTAAAGAGTTCTCACTTCTGGTCACCTCAGGACTTCCTGATTGGTTGAAGCAACCAACAGGGGGTGGTTCTAGTGATGTCAGAGGGTCATTACAAGTCAAGAAAACAGCAGGAATGTTTTAGAAACGTCCCGTACAGACAGAAGACATGTTATGGCGAAGTGGGAGGAAGCAGTGCCAGTAGCTTCTTATTTACCGTCTGCAAGGTTTAAAAACACAGACACTTCGTTCTAATAACTTCTTTCTGACTTTCAACCGACATCACTACTTCTCATTTCAGACAGAAGATCAAAATGCATAATTACTTTGTAAAATAGACATTTAACTTGATTTCTAATTTAAATGAGGAATAAAAAATCATTAATACTGTTTCACAGTTAATTTAAAATGAGTGGTTCACTTCAACATTTAGAAATGGTATGAACTAAACACACTTTTGATTTATCAAGATATTGTAAAATAGTAATGATAATATAAAAGAAGAGTGTTCTTTCAATTGATTACTTCAGGATACAATTAGACAGTCTCTGGATGAGCTAATTTGTATTTATGGATTCAAATCAATGAAATAACAGTTCCTGTCCCATGAAGGTCCACAGAGGCAGGTTTTGGTCGGAGGCCGAGTTCACTACATATGTTACTGTTGATGTTTTGTGTTCTCGTGTCCATTAGGGACATAATAAGAGCCCTAAACCCCAGAGCACAACAGAGAAGATTCAGGAAGAGACACAGAGATACAGAAGTCTGCATCAGCCCTAACCTCAGTGAATCCAGTGACCTGCTGGTAGAATGTGAGGGACACTATGCCAATGCTATCAAACTGACAACCAGGTATCTGTGTGTGCAACAAGCATCATCCACACCCTCAAGAGTGAACATTTTCTACGGCTGGAGACACCGTCAACCAGGAGAGGGCTTGTTTGTGTCCAGAGAAAGCAGACATGTTGATTTTTCTGAAAAAAACTCTTAAGTGAAAAGGTCCTCAGTGTGTAACAGTGAGCATTAGACAATGACATGTCCCTGGTTTGCAACAGTTCTTTTGACCTGAAAATTATTTGTTTTTATGTAAGCAAACGGTTTGGAATGGAAAAATACCAAAGTAAAAAAAAATAAAACTCATGATTTGTACTGTAATGTGTAACAAAATTTTCTTCTTGTTAGAATTAATATTAATTACAAAATTGGTACCGAAAAAAGAACAGTACAGGAACCGACACCGAAGTGAAAGTACCGACACCGGTACAGACACCAAATTTTTTAGAAAGGTACCCAGCCCTAGGTATGATATTTAGTAAATTTATCCCAAAGAAACTGCCACTGATAAATGGTAAATGGACTGCACTTATATAGCGCTTTTCTATCTTATTTCAAGATACTCAAAGCACTTTACACTACAATCTGTGCCTCATTTACCCATTCATACAGCACTAGATCTCTACAAAGATAATTGAACAAATCATTCTAATGAGACTAATCAGTGCTTTATCACATTCATACACTGATGGGACACACATCAGAGGCTATGAGGGGTTCAGTGTCTTGCCCAGGGACACTTTGGCATGTGACTGCTGGTGGAGTCGAACCCCCAACTCTCACATTGGAGGACAACTGCTCTAACCACTCAGCCACAGCCGCCCCAAGAGATGGTGCAGGAACGTGTCTACGCTACCCGGGGAAGGGGCACTTCCTCCTGGTCATCACTGCCATGGTGAGCTGCCGGTTCTCCGTGCCGTCTCCTGCATGCAAAAAATATTCCACACTCCTTCCACGAGTTCTTTTACTACAATCCCCACCAAAAGTATTAGAACAGTAAGGCAAATTCATTTGTTTTTGTTGTACACTAAAGACATTTGGGTTTAAAATCCAAAGATGAGCACGAGACAAGAGTTCAGAATGTCAGTTTTTATTTCCTGTTTTTCAAGTGTGCAAAACTATTGGAACATGTGACTGACAGGTGTTTCTTGTTGCCTTTAACGATGATTGTTCAAACATTAAATACTTTGTAGTTCTGCATGACTAGTTTACTTTGTGGCCTGTGTTTAAACCTATGAAGTAGGTATTTCTTGTTAAAAAAGATACACCAACATGAAGACCAGAAAGCTATTTATAGGGGAAAAGCAAGTGATTCTGAAGATGAGAAAATAAGGAAAACCAATCAGAGCCATTGGACAAACATTGGGCATATAAAGCACAGCAATTTGGAATGTCCTGAATAAGAAAGAAACTACGGGTATACTGAGCAATCAACGTTAAACAAGTCGGCCAAGGAAAACAACAGTAGGTGATGACAGAAATATTGTGAGAGCTGTGAAGAAAACCCCCAAAAACATCAGTGACATCACCAACGACCTCCACAGTGTAGGGGTGAAGGTATCACAATCCAGTGTTCGGTGAACTCAGAGCAGAAATATAGAGGCCATAGCCAAAGATGCAAACCACTCATCATCAGTAGGAATTGGAAGGCCAAATTGCAATTTGCAAAGAACAGAGATGACCCGCAAATGTTTTGAACACAATCTTATAGACCGATAAGACCAAGATTAATCCTTACCGAAGTGATAGAATGTAAGGTTGTTTTCACACTTGATAGTCCGGTAGACTCGATTTGGTTGGGGACCAATATTCATGACATTTTAGCCTGGTATCCACAGGTCTGGTTCTTGTTGTAGCCTGTTGTGTCCGGTTCTGGTGGGATCTCTATTTTTCCGTCTCCACATTGCCAATAGTTCCCGTTTAGTGGGCGGATTGTTCACCTCTAGTGGGCGGATTATTAATATCAACGCACCTTACCAACTGGTGGCGGTAGTGCTACATTAAGCTCTTTTCTAAGCACCACTAACATGTATTAGAAGAAGAAGAGCTGGAAAACAACACACAACCAAAATGGATGACCTCGATGAACTTGAAGCAGAACCAGCGGCACAGCCCGTCCTGGTCGCTGTCCCGCAAGATGGAGAGCAGGGCCGAGGTGTCAGAGATGCTCTGATGGAGTACCTCATGAGCTGTAACTTATCCTAATTCCACCCCTTAATCTTTTTTTTACCTCTCCAGCCTTCCTTAGATACAAGTGAACGTTAAAGTGTTGATTTGAAAATAAACATGGATTAATAATTATTCTTGTTTTTTTAATGTACAGACATGCCTTATTACCAGGTTCGTGTAAAAATGGCAAAACAAACACTGCTGCTGTGCTTCTATCACATATGCTGCGTTTTTTAGCGGCTGTAGTTTTAGAAAAACTGTATACTCTTTAATTTTTGTTTTTAACAAAGAACCAAAACCTACAACAAGAACTTTATATTTGTTTATGCATATATACATTAATCTATTTTAATATTTATATATATATATATATATATATATATAATATATATATATGTCTTCAGCCAGAGACTTCTTCAGATCCCTTGTAAGACAGACGCTACAAGAGATCCTTCCTGTCCACAGCCATCAGCATCTAGAACAACTCTTTAATGAAACCAGGATGATGAGTTACAACATTCAATTTCCCTCTGGGATTAATAGTCTTTTTGTAATTTGATTTGTATATATGTATGTATATTTATATATATATATATATTTATATATATATATATATATATTACGTACATTACATAATAACCTACATTTGATTTGATATTTAACAACTCTTTCAGAGCTTATGCTTACCACGCAGCTCTTTAAATTAAGCTGTCGCAAATTATCTTCATGATTGAAGTGCTGTTAAGTAATATTAAGTTAGTGCTCCTTTGTACCACAGTGAAAGTCGTGGAGAGAATTTTTGACCTTGGGCGAAAAAGATGCAGAAGCTGCTGGATCCACAAGATGGACATCATGGCCGAGGTGTTTGACATGCAATGACTGAAAACCTCCTGAATGAGGAGGATTGTAAACATAGATTACACAAGTCCTACACCTTTTTAACTCCACTGCAATGTTCATTTACAACACATGGACATTCTGTATTATGGTTATGTTTTTCAGTACTCATTACAGATAAAACTGAAAAAATACAGAAATAAAAAACCTGGACTTTATTTGTAACTGAAGATGTATCACTTTTCATCAGAGGCTCTTTCTCCATCCATCCATCCATCCATTTTCTTTTACCCGCTTATTCCATTTTTGGGTCACGGGGGTCGCTGGTGCCCATGTCCAGCAATCACTGTGCGAGGGGCGGGGTACACCCTGGACGGGTGGCAAGTCCATGAGGCTCTTTCTCAATTTAATGAAATGAGGAGTGTGATTCAAGTTATAAAGCTGTGGTGTGCCGTCAGCTTGTATTATGGAGACTGACACATGCAGATCAATCTCCAGCAAGCTTACAGAACACCACAGCTTTATAACTTTAATCCCAGATTCCTTTTTTCATTGAATTGTGAGTGCTCCTCGGATGATTAGCGAAACGTCTTCAGTTTTAAAAAAAGTCCTGTGGTTTTGTTTTTATCTGTTTTGGGGGGGGATTTGCCGTGTCAAGGATAACTGAGAATCTTCACCAGCATTGTTACAGGTAAAAAACAATTACTTCACTTATCTACACTATTGACGTAAAAAAACACTGTAAGCACTTCACTTTTGATGATCAGATGGAAGCTCAAGACTTGAAAATGTTTATTTTATTAGAAATAAAAACCTGTACAAAAAAAAAAAATTATACACTAATTAAATATGCAAACTTAACAAGCTACATGTTTGGCTATTTGTGGGCTTACCTTGCAGGATCTACATTTCTATAGATCAACTAAGATCTACTCTAAATATTTTTAAACATGTCTGTTTGCCATGGAACGGGCAATGGATTCCAGCACCCCAAGGAGGGCCTGATTGAAAGCAGCACTCTGTTCAGCCTCCTGCCTTTGCTGTGCTGCTTCCTCTCTGCGAGATCTGCTTCCTCTCTCCTCAAGGCCATCTCCTCCCTCCTAATTGCTTTCTCCTGCTTCCTCGCTGCTGCAGCTTGGCGTTGCCTCTGCGCAG